TGCCTCTGCCTCCCGAGTGCTGGGATTAAAGGCGTGCACCACCACGCCTGGCCACAGTACATTTTTTAAAAAAACTTTGCTGCCAGGTGGTGGCACACATCTTTATTCCCAGGACTTGGGAGGCAGAGGGAAGTGGATCTTTGTGAATTTGAGGCTAGTCTGGTCTACAAAAAAGTTCCAGGCCAGCAGGGGCTACCAGGAGACCCTGTCTCAAAAAGACAAAGAAAACAAATTTTAACAGAACCCAGTTTGATAGAAGGGTACAACACCTCCCTCATCTATTTGGAGATTAGACAAATTACCATGGTGACTGACAGGTGCCAGGAACATAGCAGAGATTGGAACCTGAAGTCACAGTTCCCCCACCTCCTCTGGGAAACCTTCCAGGACTGACTGTTCTGCCTGGCTCCCATCAGCACCATCTGATAGCTGTTTACTGCACCAGGGAACTCTCCCCATACATGGCTCTGAAGACCACTAGAGGCTGATGGAAAAAGAGTACACCATCCAAAAGAAATGGGTAAGATAGTCAACTCAGAAGAAACACTTCCTCCATGCTTCCAAGCGAAGCCAGCCATGGTCGAGAAGGACCTTCAACTTATCTTAACGTAGGCGGAACTGGTAAAGGAAAGGAGCCAAGGGCTCCTCCCAAGCCCATGTGACCCCTGAGAACAGATCCTCAAACGACCTCAAGAGTAAAAATAAATTGGTTTGTCTGGGCCAACTGCATGGTCTTAAACACCCAGAAGGAAAGTATAACCAAACATTAAAGGGATCAATATAATTCTTTAAGAGTCCATGTATGTAGTTTCATCTAGACTCAAAAATATTGTCAGATTGTTTAATAGGGATATATAGTCTGACTAATTGAAACTGATTTTGAAGATTTTTTTGTATTTTTGAGACAGGGTCTCCCTGTATCCCCAACTGGCCTGGAACTGACTATGCAGACCAGACTGCATGAGCTCTACCTGTCTCTGCCTCCTAAGTGTTGGGATTGAATACAATCACTACCTTGCCCGGCTTCTCAAAGCACATTTTAAAATTACATGTTACTCATTTGTTATTTTAATTTGTTCCTAGCCTTGTTGAAGTACTAAAGTGTACAAATTGAGGCTGGGAGGATAGTACAGTTGGTAAAGTACCTGCTATGTGAGCACAAGGACCTGAGTACAATCCAGAGAACCCACTTAAAAAGCTGGTTGCGGGCTGGAGCAATGGCTCAGCAGTTAAGAGCACTTGCTGCTCTTTCAGTGGACCCAGATTCAGTTCCCAGCACCCACTCTAATTCCAGGGGATCTGATGCCCTCTTTTGGTCTCCGTGGGTATTACATGCACGTGGTATGCATACATGCAGGCAAATACTCATATATATTTATAAAATAAAAATAAGCCTTCAAAAGAATAAAAAAGTTGAGTGTGATGGCCTGCATTTGCAGTCCAGGGCTAGGGAGGTGCAGACAGGAAGATTCCTGTGGCTCCATGGACAGCCAGCCTTAGCCTAATCAGAGAGAGCCAGGTCAATGAGAAGATCCTGTTTAAAAAGAAAAGATGGTGGGCAACTTCGGAGGAATAACAGCCCAGGTTGACTTCTGGTCTTCATATTTACCCACACATACATATGCACTTACCTGAACACATTCCTATGTACCTATACATACACAAACTTATAAAAATGTATAGATTGATGCATCTTATTTTATATATGTACACACACACACACACACACACACACACATATATCTTGAAACCCTACAGGCAAGATACTGCGTATGTGCATTCTTCCAAGAGTTTCCTCATGTCTCTAGGCTTGTTGATCAATTTAGATTATCACAAATAGGATTGCTATGGGAATTGGTGTATATGCCTGTGTATACTCACAGGTAACTTTGTTTCTGGATCAATAGGAGTGTAATGACTGGATAATTTGCCAAGTGAATATTTGAATATTTATTTTATGATGCTGGAACTCAAATTTAAGGGAACATTTATCTTTTGAAGATATTATCAGTTCTTTTTTTCAGAGTGGTAGTACTATTTGTATCTCCACAAACACTGTTAAGAGTGCTAATTTCACATCCTAGTCCTTGGTTTGGCAATTAATTTAAGATGTTCCAAGAATAATGGAATTTCATTGTGGTAAATTTCATTTCTATAATGCCTAATGATGTTTGTTATCTCTATCCATTGATTATAGTACTTAACTCTTTTTTTGTTTGCCTATATATGCATACAGTTGATTTCATTCTGTAAAATACCCATGAATATTGATTTAATGAGCACTGAACTATTATTACTCCTTGGAGAAATGTAAAGATAGGTTATTTGGGAACCTCTGCTCAAACCTTTGTCATCTAGTCAATACATTGCCTTGTTTTATTGTTTTTATGTGTATTTCTATTTAAAGATGTCCTATTCAGAATATATAGATATTAATATTTTTATTGAGGTTTTGTTCATTTTATATATATTTAAATTTTTAATTACATTTATTTTGTGTGTGTGTGTGTGTGTGTGTGTGTGTGTGTGCGCGCGCGCGCGCGTGTGCATTTGCATGTCAGGGGACAAATTGTGGGAGTCAGTTCTCTTCTATCCATGTGGGTTTTAGGGACTGAACTCTGGTTGTCAGGCTTGTTGCTAGGTACCTTTACCTACTAAGCCATCTCTCTGATCTGAGAATATATTTTTGATTAGCATTGAACTTAGAGCACTGTATGTCATAACTGGATAAAGCTTATCTTACATGTATTTTCTCAAAGGCACATCATAACCTTGGACTTAGGAAAAGTATATAGCACTTTCAGCACTGTGCTTATATATGACTTAAACGCTTAAATCATCAACGATAACCACAAAAGGACACTGAATAGACCCCTTATTTGTAAAATGGAGAGCTGACAAAGTTGTGTGTGTGTGTTCTCTCTCTCTGTGTGTGTGTGTGTGTGTGTGTGTGTATGTGTATCTATGTCTGTGTCAGACTCAGCTGAGAAAAGTAAACATTGAGCAACTTGAGTTTCTCATGACTGATCATGAAAGCTCCACAAACAGTAGTTTGGGGCTATGAATAAATTTTATTAAGTAGATGAATTAACAAAAAAGGGATTGGTGAATCCAAAAGGGATTGAAGGATCATATGTGCACACATGTGCACAAGTACACTAGTGTCTTACTAGGCTGTTTTTCATTATTGTGAAGTAAGTTCTTTCGAGTTGATGATGGTCAGTACAAAGCCAGTCAGCATCCAAGCAGCCTTTTTTTGGTAGTATTGATATACTGGTTCTAAAGTTGTAATAGCAAAGGAAAGGGTATAGAATAACCAAAATAGCTGAGCGTGGTGGCACATGCCTTTAATCCCAGCACTTGGGAGGCAGAGGCAGGCAGATCTCTGTGAGTTCAAGGCCATCCTGCTCTACATAGTTCCAGGCCAGCTGGGGCTACAGGTTGACCCTGTCTCAAAAAGACCAAAATTTAAAAAAAAAAAAAGGAAAAAAACCCCAAAAACCCCCAAAACGAAAACTAAACCCTAAATAGCTTTGAAAATGGGGGGTCGGGGGGTGGGGCACTGGTGGACAAGTGTATAATTTCAAGACTTAATTAGTAAAGCAGTCAATTCTGGCAGTGCAACATGGTAGACAGAGAATAATAGAGAATACTTCCCAGAATTTAATTCTTCCATAAATGTATTAATGTTTTGTTTTCCCAAGCAAGCATACAATGTAATAGTGACATAAATGGTTCCCTTATGGAGTTTGCTTTTGGGACTCAATGCTGTGATTCCCTATAGGGCAAATCTGTCCTCTTTATCTAATGTCTGCTTTTATTATCTAGGCAGGTCCGGTCAGAAAACAAAGAAAAGAGTGCAGTGATGTCTTTTACAGTTACAGATGAGCCTATCTATGTTGACTTGACTTTGTCAGAAAACAAAGAGGTAAGTGGCTTGATTATTTGAGAATTGGTTTTATGTTCTACAAAAATTATTTATAGGGCTGAAGGGGTGGCTCAGTGGCTAAAATGCTTGTCAGGTAAGCATGAGGGTCATAGTAAGTTGGATCCCCAGAATCCATATCAAAACTGGGCAAGTGTAGTGGCTGTCTGTAATTTCAGCACTTGGGAGACAGACAAGATCACTGGGGCAAGCTATAGTTTAAGCACAAGGCTCTGCTTCAATAAATAGAAAGTGGAGAGATAGAGGAAGATATTTAACAACCTTTGGCCTCTACATGAATGCACATGTATCTGCACACATATACCCACACATGCAAAGGTGCATATACGACATATGTGTACACTGTGCACATAAAATTTAGTTATTTATATTTTTTGAATTTTCAATTAAATTTTTGTATATTTCATACATATTTAAAAAATTTTATTTATTTTTATTTTATGTGTATGCGTGTATTGCCTGCATGTAGGTAAGTGCACCTGTGTCATGCAATGCCCGTGGAGGTCAGAAGAGGCTGTCGGATCCCCTGGGACTGGCGTTACGGACAGTTGTTAGCTGCCATGTGGGTGCCGGGATTCGAACCTGGGTCTTCTGCAAGAATAACCAGTATTCTTAACTGCTGAGCCATCTCTTCAGCCCCAGCACAGAATATCTTAATCATCTTTATACCTCCTTCCCCATTGACCCCCTCCCATAGCCCCCCCCCCAGTAGAATTCATATAGTCTGTCATTTGTGTTAACATGTAAAATTAGTGTCCCCAATTGTCCCTCAGTGCAAGGTCATCCACTGAGGTCTAGTCAGCCTATCTAGAGTTCCTCCCTTTAAGAATGTCATTGCTACCTCACCCAGCAGTAATCAGCTGCTAATAATTCTTCGACTAAAATTGGGGCCTGTTGTCCGTTTCCACAGTTCTAGGCTGGGTTTTTGTCTGCTTGAGTTTACATGGGTCTTGTGCATGCTCACACCATTGCCGTAGGTTTGTATGAGCCATGTCCCAGGAGCTTGTAGGACTCTTATTTCCGTATGGTCATGTACCGCCTCCTTGGCTCTTACAGTCTTTCTGCCCTCCTCTTCACAATGATCCCTGAGCCCTGGGTGGATGGATTTTAATACAGGTCTTTATATTCTGTTTTCCATTTCATTCATTCTATTGGTGAGGCTTTCTCCTGTTATTTCAAATTGGCTTATTGAGTTTTTCAATTCCTTCTTCATTTCAGTCTGAGTTTTCTTCAATATTTCTATCTCTTGTGAATTCAGTCCAAAGTTTATCCCTATCTTCTTTTAGTTCTTTGATTTGTTTGTGTGTTCTTTAAATTCTTTGACCATGTTTATGTTTGTTGTTTTAAATTCTGTGTCTTGGGTTATCTCTAGGGGGTTCTCCTTGTAGAGCTCTTCTATAGGATCGGTGGTGTTTCGAGGGAACATACTGTTTTGGTTTTCCATATTATTTTTCCATTGCGATTTTTGGCATGAGGATTTGTTTTGTTGTTTGCAATTCTGATATGAACTTCAAGCTTTCCTTAGTTGAGTTGAAGTCTGCTTCTGTTTGTATTATTGGTGTACTTTGGTTGCTTTCTTATTGGGTATGACCCAAATATGCTGCTTGGTCTAGGCTTTGGGTTCTCTCAGATTTTATATTGGAGGGAGCAGGTGGCTTCAGTCCAGCTATTCAGAAGCTCCTTCAGAGGCCCAAGTTAGGCTCTAGTCAGGCACTCTTGGGCTCCTCCTACAGTCTGGACTCTTACTAGCAGGCAGTCACTGCACAATTTGGGAATTTCACTAGGCCTGATTTAGGCACTTAGGCAGTCTGCTAAGTTCTGGGACCCTACTAAAGGGCAGAGAAGCCTAGGCTTGGGGTAGTGGGATGGACTGTGGGTTATCCCAGTGTAGACGAATGGGCCCATTGTGCTTTGGGGATGCTCACTACCACATGGAGGCCAGATCCAGGCACTCTGACAGTCTTCTAAGGTCTGGGCCCCTCCTGTAGGGCAGAGAAATCTAGGCCTGATGCAGTAGGAGGAGCCACATGTGGTCCCAGCGTAGCCTGTTGGGCACTGCGTGATCTTGGGAAGCTCACCACTACATTGAGGCTGGATCCAGGCACTCTCAGGCAGTTTTCTCTTATTTTTTTAGACAATATTTTTTTGTGTGTGTTAGTATATTCACATGTGTGTGTGCAGGCTCACCTGCCCATGCACACATGGAAAGCAAGAGGAGGACATGGTGTGTCCTGCTCTCTCACTTCTCTACCTTATTCTCTTGAGGCAGACTGTCACTGAACCTATAGATAGGCTGATGAACATCCAGTCCAACAATTCTTCTGTTCCTCACCCCCCCTGCCCCTTTCCCCTGCCCAGCACTGGTGTTAGAGGTGAATATATGATTTGCTTTCATGTTTATGTGGATTCTGGGGATTTGAAGTTAGGTAGGTTCCCATAAGGCAGCAAGCACTTTTATCCTCTGAGCCATCCAACCCTGAGGCACAATCTTGATATGTATCCCTGTTCATCCTGATACTTGGTATGTGTCTTTTGGCTGGCTTTGAACTTGTGACAGTCTTGGTGCCTCAGCTTCCTGAGCCCTGGGATTACAGGGTTTTGCCACTATTCCCAGCCAAATGGTATTATTTTTTCTTTAAAAATTTAAAAAAAAATTTTTATTTATGTGTATGAGTGTTTTGATTGCATGTATGTAAGTCACCCGTGTTGTGCAGTGCCCAAGCAAGTCAGAGACGGTGTCAGATTCCCTGGAAATGCACTCATGGATGGTTGTTAGCAACCATGTGGGTGCTGGGAATTGAACACAGGTCCTTTGCACAGTGCTCTGAACTGCTGAGCTATCCTTCTAGCCCCTTTTTTGGTTTTTCTTGAGGTAGGGTCTCATCCTAAACTGTCTTTCACCTTACTGTGTAGCTAAGGATGTTTTTGAACTTAGGATCCTTCTGCCTCTTTTTCCAAGTACTGAGTTCATAAGTATGCATTACTGTGTTCACTTTATGGGGTGCTGGGGTTTGAACTCAGGATTCTGTGTATGCTAGGCAAACACTCTGCCAATGGAGCTACAACCCTACTCCCCACCTCCTTAAACTGAATGTTACTTTAAAAATCAAACTGTAGGGTTGGAAAGATGGCTCAGTGGTTAAGAGAACTCGCTGCCCTTATAGAGCACCTATGTTTGGTTCCCAGTCCACATGGCAGCCATTAACCTGAGATAATGATTTCATTAAATTATTATTTTGTGGGGCTGGACAAATGGCTCAGTGTTTAAGAGCACACTGACTGCTCTTGCAGAGGACCTAGTTTCAGTTCCCAGCACCAGTGTGGTGGCATACATCTGTCTGCAACTACAGTTCCATGGGGATCTGATGCCCTCTTCTGGCCTCCACGGGCATTGCACATGTGGTACATCTGCATATATGCAGGTAAAACACTCATACACTTTAAATAAAAGTAAATAATTAAAAAATTGTAAAAAAATGTTTTTGTGTGTGTGTGTAGGTTTGAGGACGGCTTTGTGGAGTTTGTTCTCTTTCACCTTTTCGTGGATTCTGGGCTACTTTACCTGCTGAGCCAGCTCTCTGGCCCAAGATAAGGATTTTTTTTTTCAGTCTTTTTGAGACAGGGTCTCCCTGTAGCCCTAGCTGGCCTGGATTTGCTATGGAGAGACCAGGCTGGCCTCAAACTCACAAAGATCCACCTGCCTCTGCCTCTGGAGTGCTGGGATTAAAGGCGTGCACCACCATGCCCATGTTTCTATTGTTTGTTTATGTTTTTATTCCTCTTTTTACTAATGGGATGGGACAAGAGTTGAGTTTTCATGAACTAAATTGAATATAGTATATAATTCACTACAGTTAATCAGCTTGATTTTTCTTTTAGCCTGTCAAGTTAGCTGTTGTTTGCAGAGATGGTCAGGTCCATCTTTTTGAGCATATATTAAATGGGTAAGTAAGATGTTTTTAAAGTCAAAAATACCTTTCTGTTCCCCCATTCCCTTGTTTCGTAGTCCCAGTTCCTCATCCTTTGCCATTATATTCCTATTTCATGAGGTTGTTCTGAAAGCATTCTTTTGTATTTTTCCTCCTTTGAGACAGGGTTCCACTGTGGAGCAACGGCTGGCCTGAGGTGTGTGCTAACACACCCGGCATGAGTACACGAAGAGCTTGAGGTTTTTTTTTGGTCTTTTTGAGACAGGGTCGGTCTCCCTGTGTCCCCAGCTGGCCTGGAACTCACTATGTAGACTAGGCTGGCCTAGATCTCACAGAGATCTGCCTGTCTCTGCCTCACAAGTGCTGGCATTAAAGGGCGCCACCACACCCTCCAAGAACTTGAGTTTTTAGGGCCATAGAACACTTCATTTCTTTGTGGTCAGGAGAGTAGCCTTTTATCCTTTTATGATGTGCGTATAGTAAATATTGATGGCTACAGTAAGTTGTAAAAGAAAGTTACTCAGTTGGAGAGATTTGCTTGTGGTTTTTGACGATGCCTTATTCTCTTCTCCAAAATGTTTGCCCTTATATGGAGATGTGAATCAGTGAAGCATGCCTGTGCTGTTGTCTTGGTAGATGGAGGAGTTGAGGTGTAGGCTTTGTTAAAGTCCAGGGTTTAGCAAGCTAGGGTCTGGGCCAGTAGAGACCACATATGCCCTCAAAAGCCTAAATGGTTACTTTTCTCCAGCCCTTTACAGAACAAGTTTGCCAAACCTTGTTTTACACTATTAAATATATATTATATTATATATATATATGCTCTATATGTTATATATATTAAATATATAT